AATTCACATGTCTTAATTTTCTTAGCTAAGTGTCACAATTTCATGACAGTCAATGGAATTTACAGCAAAGGAATTCTAGAAACTTATGCTATTTGATCTCTTACTTGCCAAAAAGGATATTAATATGCACCATTTTTCTTCAAGAGATTATCTCAACATATATCATTTATGTCTCCCATTAATTATATGGAATTCACCTTCGCTTTTGAAAGTGTAGCTGCCTTCTATAGATACTTTGTTTATGACAATATTAAATTTATTCCTGACAATGTTAAACTTTTCAGAGCAAATTGCTCAGTGTGAACAATTAATTATATGGAATTCACCTTCGCTTTTGAAAGTGTAGCTGCCTTCTATAGATACTTTGTTTATGACAATATTAAATCTATTCCTGACAATGTTAAACTTTTCAGAGCAAATTGCTCAGTGTGAACAATTGATAATTGTTTTTGGTGTGTTATCTATAAAATATTTATCTTGCATATTGGCAGGCATATTAGATGAAAATGGTGTGTTAAATTTTTTTTATTATAGTTATTCGTGGAATGGTTAGTATCAATCGTTAGAGGCAATCATAATTACCAGTTATATAATATCATCGTTTATTGGAAACAAACTTACAGTTAGCACTCATTAACTACACAAATTTTCTGACTCTGATTCAGTTGATTATTTTCATGCTGCACCTGAATGTCAACCATAACACATTGGTAGACATGATACTTTGCAGCTGGGATTTGCTTAAATCTTTTCTTCTTATTATTATTTCTGCATCTTAGTCTTTTCTGTTTTGATCACCTTAAGAAATTGCAAATACTATATACACTGAATGCTGATCTCCTATGGATAGTAATCTGATATAGAACTCCCTATGCATGTGAACAGGAGCAACTTCATTCCTTTTCACTGAATACCAGTACGTTGGAATCTTCATGGTTGCTTTTGCAGTTCTGATCTTCCTCTTTCTTGGTTCTGTGGAAGGCTTTAGCACAAAAGCCCAGCCATGCACCTATAGCAAGGATAAGTATTGCAAGCCAGCACTTGCAAATGCTGGCTTCAGTACCATCTCCTTCTTGCTTGGCGCAACAACTTCCCTGGTTTCTGGTTTTCTTGGGATGAAAATTGCGACCTTCGCGAATGCAAGAACAACTCTAGAAGCTCGGAAGGGTGTTGGAAAAGCTTTCATCACCGCTTTCCGGTCCGGTGCAGTCATGGGCTTCTTGTTGGCAGCAAATGGCTTGTTGGTTCTTTACATTGCAATCAACTTATTCAAATTATATTATGGTGATGACTGGGAAGGCCTTTTTGAGTCTATAACTGGTTATGGTCTTGGTGGGTCTTCCATGGCACTTTTTGGGAGAGTAGGGGGTGGAATTTACACAAAAGCTGCTGATGTTGGTGCTGACCTTGTTGGTAAGGTCGAGAGGAACATTCCTGAAGATGACCCTAGGAATCCAGCTGTAAGTTCCTCTAGTTTTTATGAAAATGCATGTTTTCTTCCTATGTGCTTTTGTGATAAATCACTAGATTTTTTTTTGGGGGGGGGTGGGGGGGTTCAAACCTCGTGCTTTTATCTTGTGCTAACATTTTGGCATTATCTGCTAGATATTCCAGATTGATATATCCTGTTCATATAAATGTCTTCTCTTCCTATTTGAACTTATAGATATATCTTATAGGTGATCGCTGATAATGTTGGAGACACTGTTGGGGATATTGCTGGGATGGGATCTGATCTTTTTGGATCATATGCTGAATCATCATGTGCTGCCCTTGTTGTTGCCTCTATATCTTCGTTTGGAGTCAACCATGAGTTTACTGTAATGTGCTATCCTTTGCTCGTTAGCTCCATGGGCATCATAGTTTGTTTAGTAACTACTCTCTTTGCAACTGATTTTTTCGAGATAAAGTCTGTAAAGGAGATTGAGGCTGCTCTAAAGAAGCAGCTTATAGTCTCTACTGCACTTATGACAGTTGGTATTGCAATCATCAGTTGGATTGCTCTCCCTTCGACATTCACAATTTTCAGTTTTGGTGACCAGAAGCAGGTCAAAAACTGGTTAGTATCATGTTCCTTTTATTTCACTAAATGGTGAGTTTTTAAGGCGGTCTAATCATCAGAGACATTCAGGGAGTTGTTTTTCTGTGTTGCAATTGGATTATGGGCTGGCCTGGTTATTGGGTTTGTCACCGAATACTATGCAAGCAATGCATATAGGTAAGAAATTGGTTTTTCTATATTTCTTAACATGAGCTACCATGAACTGGCTTTTATAGAATGTGCCCTGTTCTTACTATTTTTGCAGTCCTGTTCAAGATGTTGCTGATTCCTGCCGAACTGGGGCCGCTACTAATGTCATTTTTGGACTGGCTTTAGGATATAAGTCTGTCATTATCCCAATTTTTGCCATTGCTGTCAGCATATTTGTTAGTTTTAGTCTTGCGGCCATGTATGGTATTGCTGTTGCTGCTTTAGGCATGCTGAGCACTATTGCTACTGGTCTGGCCATTGACGCATATGGGCCCATCAGTGACAATGCTGGAGGCATTGCTGAGATGGCTGGAATGAGCCACAGAATTCGGGAGAGAACAGATGCTGCAGGCAACACCACTGCAGCCATAGGAAAGGTATCATAATTTTATTGCTAAAATAGTTTTCTGCATTCTATTAACTGTGTTGGAGCTGCTAGAAGCTTAGGGAGGTAACCTGTGCCTAGGATGTAGTGACCAGAACCTTGGTACAATGTATATTTATTTTCTTTTAGATGGGTTGATGCACACTCTGGTTAAAGATGATGTTTACGTTGCTATGTTAATTTAGAAATTTGTTTGTAACTGCTGCTGCAGATAGCAACAATGGTAAAACTGCAACCCACAAATTTCAGTGCTGTTTGTGTTGGCTTTTTTTTGCCATGTAGAACACTACTTGGGAAAATATGTTGAGAAAAAGCTACTTTTACAATTTTTTAAAGGCTATTTGCCAAAAGTCATTCTAGATTTAGAAGAAGTCATCTGTTCCAGGGATGATGCTTGTACTATTTTAGTTGATATTCTAGGTTTATCTATTGGTTGCATGTCAGAAAGGTTCTGTTGCAACTGCAACTGCAATTGTTTGATTGTCATTATTGCTTGCTATTAAGATTGTATTCAGATCGTTACTAATTTTATTCATCTTGAGTCTTGTTTATAATTTTCATTCATATTTTAATGCCTTCTCCCAGGGCTTTGCCATTGGTTCAGCTGCCTTGGTGTCTCTTGCACTCTTTGGTGCTTTTGTCAGTCGAGCAGCTATTTCCACTGTAATGTTCGTTCTAACACCAAAGGTGTTCATTGGGTTGATTGTTGGTGCGATGCTTCCTTACTGGTTCTCAGCCATGACCATGAAGAGTGTCGGCAGTGCAGCTCTGAAGATGGTGGAGGAGGTCTGAAGGCAGTTCAACACTATACCGGAGCTTATGGATGGTACTGCTAAACCTGATTATGCCACCTGTGTCAAGATCTCCACTGATGCCTCAATCAAGGAGATGATTCCACCTGGTGCTCTGGTGATGCTTACACCCCTGATTGTTGGAACTTTCTGGCGTGGAAACCCTATCTGGGGTTCTTGCTGGGTCTCTTGTTTCTGGTGTTCAGGTAAATAAGAATTTGCTTGCTGATGTGACCAGTAGAATTTGTGGCTGAAGGTAATGGTCGTTCTTTGTCACAGATTGCTATCTCTGCATCTAATACTGGTGGTGCATGGGACAATGCTAAGAAGTACATCGAGGTAAAGCCACTCTTCCTTTCTCATGTTTTCTTTTGCATGCTACTGTGTTCCTGAGGCCTGATTTTTCCATACATTCATGATCCTTTCTTATTTAAAATAATGATAAATTGCAAGATAGCAAAATTGTACTTGCTTAAACTTTGGTTTACATGAGGTTAGGTGTCTTAAATTTCTCATAGTTCCACATCAGAATCTGTAGTTACCTAACACAATTATTCAAACTGCTAATTTTGGATGGCGTTGGTAGGCTGGGGCATCAGACCATGCTAGGAGCCTCGGCCCTAAGGGATCTGCTCCTCACAAGGCTGCTGTTATTGGTGACACCATCAGGGACCCTCTCAAGGATACGTCCGGGCCATCACTTAACATCCTTATCAAGCTAATGGCTGTGGAATCTCTGATGTTTGCACCATTCGTTGCAACTCATGGAGGTCTCCTGTTCAAGATATTCTAACTTGATGGCAGTGAGGAAACTCAAGGATCATTGTTCTTTACACTGCTCAAATCTCCATCGATCTCAATATTTGATCAGTAATTGCAACTTGCTATTTATTTTTCTTTTGCTTTTCCTGTCATATTTTCTATTCATCTGTCATTAGTTGATGTTATATAGGTCAGCATCCATGGACCCATTGTGGGCAAGGAGGTCGACAAAATTTTCTTATGTTTGAAGATGACAATCATTGTGGTGAATTGACTGTTGTCACTCTTGTGAGATTAAGAAAGTTTACCATACATCTTTGTGTTTGAAGTTTGTTGGCTCTCCTGCTGGATCTACTACTAATTTACTTGTCAAAATTGAAAAATTGTGTGATTGTGGAAGCAAAAGTAAACATAAGGCAAGCAGAGATTTGTTTCATCCTGTAGTTTGTGAAAAAGTTAGATGCAAGGACTAGTGGAAGACAGAAAAGAAATCCAGATGCAGGAAGATGGAGGATTGTGTTAGGTCATGATAATCAAATCTCATAAACATATGACAACCCAAAATAGTTAAGATTTATGATTTTGTTGTTATTGTTGTATAGAAGGGGGCAATGGAAGGTTGATTTTTGTGTATGAAATTAGTTATCATATTCTTTATAATTCTAGTTGAAGGCAGGCCTTAGGAATATAATAAGGTTATTATGTTACTTGCATTTCTAGTTTATTTTGAGATCTTGATGTGTCAATCATGATTTTAAATAAAATAATCATCTCTAATTTCAGCTTTAATCCTTGGCAAGTTCTTCAATAATTAGACAATTTTGGTTTACTTCCTTTATTTCACTTATTATTTGATCAAACATTCTCAGAAAAAGAACCACAACCAATCATGCATGAATGGACTACTTTGTAGTCCATCCTCCATGAATTGAGCAGCACAATATTACCTACAAGCCGGAGCATGGAAATAAGGAATGTGGGCAAAGACAATGGAGAATGGGTCAACTGTGATGGGCTCTGATGCTGCAACTTTCACAGGTTCAAGCTCTGGAATATGGCCATCTGAGTCCACAGCCAAGATGTGGCCATTCAGCAGCATGGTCTGGCTGTGGATGTCCCCATCCTTGGCTGTCAAGTGGTACTCCTCCCTTGTGGATTCAGCTGTCTTCAGAGCAGAGTAAGCAGTCTTGGTGGTGACAAAAACTTCAGTGGTGGTGTTGCCACTGAGATTGATCAACAGCAGTGTGATCCCTTGCTGCCAATGTTGTTTGAAGCAAATGCATCAAGGCCAAGTTTTGAAGAGGCAATGAAACAGTTGTGACATGATGTTGTCTACTCACAGATTCTTTGGCACAGTGTGAATAAGCCCTTGTCATTCTGCTTCCAGTGAAGTTTGTCCGCAGAACTTGTTTCCCCATCAGCCGGTGCCACAAAAGAGCACTGCATCAACAAACCAGATCAGTTTCTCTTTCAATTCAAGGTTCAATTCAAGATTGTTATGTTTGGCAAAGAACTCTAGCATGGAAGTCAGTTGATTCATCGAACAAACGATCAACTTCTACTTCAAAGTGTTGTGGTTCACCTGTAGTAATCAGGATTGGGATGGAAAGTGGTGGTGTTGAGGAGACCATAGTTTCCTCCAACCAGTGACTGCCTGCAGTAGGTCTTGGTGTTGTATGTGGATGACATGCCGAGCTGATCCAGGTACCTGCCAGTTCATGAAGCAACCATGGTGATGTCCTCGGAGATTGTTATGGACACTCAGAAGTGGTGGAACTGTCTTGCTCACCAGAAGCTGAAGACAAAGGAATCAGTCACCAGATGATGGCCACTGTTGTAAGCTCCTCCTGCTTCACCAACCCAGGCAGTGGCAGAAGTGCCTCCACTGCTGAGGATTCCTTGAAGAGAGCTGAATGTGGCGGCTTCACCATCCAGATAAGTTGGATCAAGAATTTTCTCAACCAAGTGCTGATCAACACCTGAACATAGTACACATCTTATGTAAATCATGTCACTAAAAAGAGAGTTATCTGCAAGAGAGAGAGACAGCTGCAGCAATTATACCTGGACCAAGATTATAGATGTGGTGAGTGATCACATCCAGTGAGTTGGGTTTGGTCTTGTTGACTAGTTCAGTGAACCAGCCTGCATCAAAGAAGCCCCCTGGTGCCAGTACCAGTGGTTTGACTGGGAAGCCTTGGTAGATGTCATTGATGATTGATTTGAGGGTGATCACATCTGCAGCATACTGGTCTGCACCAATTCTAGCTCCAACTCCAGATCCACTTAGTTCATTGCCTGAGACAGATGAAACCAAACCTTCATCCTTACTGGGGTAAAAGTTCTGTGCTGATCAATGAAGATAAACTATTCAGTGGTTGAGAAGTCCCAAATGATGATGTTAACAAATAATTGTTGGCATGCTTTCTGACATTTCAAACATTAAAGCAATGATGTGAACAAGTTCCAGTCTTTTTCCAACCTGCAATTCTTGATCAAGGTGGACTTACCAAGCTCCCAACCATGGATGGTGTAACCCTTATCGACTGTATACCGAATGAGAGAAGCGGCATTGGTGTAGTTCCAAGGTCCTCCTAGTGAACCATCACTCTCAGGGACCCTTCCATTGAGGGCATTCAACCCAAAAATGATGAGTGCCCTGAAGCAAAGATAGGATGAAGTTTCTGAGTGATCTCAGAGAGTGAAGTCATTCGTGAACAGTAAAATCCGAGCATGATGGAGAAAATTTCTACCCTGCTTCGTCGAAGAACTCATTCAGCTCATCCCATCTGGACATGGGTAAGCATCCTTGAGAGAAACCAAACATCTCAGAAGTGTTCTTGAGGAATGGCACACATGGCCGTTGTGGATTTCCTGTGTCGTATATGACCTTATCTTGCAAGGAACCCCCGAGGCGAAGTTTCAGTGGAGAGAATGCTGTAAAAGAGGAAGAAGATGATAGCGAAACAAGTGAAAAGAACATCAGAATCATTCATCTTCACAAGTTCAGAAGTTCACCTTTCACTGCATTCAACAAGATGGGGTTGGATAGATCCTGCATGGAGTAAAAGATGAAACACCTGTGTCAATCATGATGTATGAATCAATGCTGTATTCAAATTCAAACTATGACAAATGCACAAAAGGATTATAGAATTACCAAATGTACACATCATAGCTCAAAATATATAGATCATTTTCATCAAACAAAGACTTAAAACTCTGCTGATTATTCATGTTGTTTTGTCATATCTACAGTTAACATTCAACAGAGTTCCCTTGTGATCCACAGTTTTTCCATTGAATCATTTTGTAGCTTGGACATGTTTCTAATCCAAGTGATATGATAGATTTCTATCATGTTATCTGAACCCTAATGTAACAGCAGAGTTGCAGCAAAAAAAAAAAAAAAAAAAAGATCCAACATTTAGATAAGAAATGTAAGAAATATTTGTGAAGGTCAAGATAGATAAAGCAAGAATACACAATTTATGGCCCCCCCATTTCCTAAACCCTTGAAGAAATCCCTCAAAAATGATGCTGTCCTCAACCAGAGTACCCCCAAAGCCTCAATCCACCTCATGACCACAAGAACAAACAAAACTCCAATAATCCATGGTTGACACAGTCCAGATCTTGATGGTAGTCAGAACCTTAGTGCTAACACTGATAGAAGCCAACCCAAACTCACCAGATTGAGCATGGAAGCCAACCCCCAGCTGCATGTCCCATAGTCACATTTCTCAGGTGGCCACCAATCCAGAGTAGCACACACAAAATCCTCATCTGTCACGGCAATGGCTGCCGCGCCGTCCACAACCACGGCCGCCTTGCCCAGTCCGCCGCCGGAGTACGCCGCCACCGGCCCAGCCAGCCACAGAGACCCCCAGAAACAGAACCCAAGCAGCTGAGCCAGAAGAGCGCCACCACCCATCTCCCCCCGCCTTCTCCTCCTCTCAGTACTCAGACAAACAAAGCGAGGCTCAAGGCAAATATAGCACTCCATTCTAGAGAGAGAGGGGAGAGGAAGGAAATATGATGGTTTACTGCTTGGGTTTGGTGGAGAAAATTAAGTTTGGAATCTCTTGGAGAGGGAAAGGTAACTTTTGATTGCTTTCCCTGAGGTCATTCTACCCCACTGGAGCATCACTGTTGCCACTGACTGCTACTGACAAAAGGTACCAAGTTTCCAAGAGGATTTGGCTCAGCTGAGGAGCTTTAAGGAATGTCAGTAGTCACTGGGGAGCATCTTCAGGGAAGATGGATTCTTAGCTTTTAATCCTCTTCCACAGATGGATAAGAGATGCAACCTCTGAACAATGCAGTGGCCTTCTTCCAAAGAAATCTCTTCATGTAGCTTGTGAGTGCAGAAAGAGAGGGTGGTTAGTGGTTTGGCATGAGAAAGAGACAACTCACCCATCACAACCACTCAGTTGGCATCCACAGGTTGAAGTGGCAAGAAGGTTGCATGCAAGCAAAGACTCACATGAGATTTCTTCCTCTCAAGAGGGAGTACCTAAGCAAGATGATGACAGGGGCAGGTTGGAGCCTGTGGAATCCATCTAAGTCAGGCTTTTTCTTGCTTGTGGTGTGCACTTGGCAAGGGAACAGAGGCTACCAACTGGAAGGGCCCAAGAAGATGAACAACCCTGCAATGCAACCACTCCTTTGGGTTAGATAGATTTGTGGGCACATGAAGGCAGGTCAGTGGCATGAGAGAAGACAAAATGAAGTCTAATCTCTGTCTGTGACTAATCAAAACAAACCTTTTAATTGGAAGAAAAAAATAATTGGAAGGGTCAATTCTGGATTGACAAGTTATGTTTCAACTTGGATTGACTTCCTCAGCCCCCTGCCTTTAGAAAAGTATTACATATGTGGCTTTATGTCTGCATATTAGGCTCTATATCATGCAGATCTCAGTTGGATTAGATGGAGCTTTATGTGAATTCCTTTTTTAGTTAACTGTGTTCAGCCTAAGCACGGTCATTGATTTCAAGTCTTGTTGACCTATTTATGAACAGCTAAATTGGGGAATAATTAGCAATCTTGGCAAGGATTTCTTTTTCCCTTTTTTGCAAGGTCTAAAACCAGCCAACATTTGTTTACTAGGCTTTTAGTGAGTTAGTATAATAAATTACTGCATATGATTACTATGCAGTAATCAGTTTTCATAATATTACTACATACAGCATTTCACAAGTAAAATCAAACACATGTAGAAACAATTATTCATGTGCACATGTCTGCAAGATTCAGAGTAAGACAAAGCAATTGGGAGTTTGAGACAGCTGAGTTGATCACTGGTGAAATCCATATCTTGACTCAAAAACTTGACATCTGGCTTACAGATAAAACTAAAATTATAGCCAACCAGAATCTGATCCCATCTCAACTAGCATAAGAAGTAATAAAATGGTGTTGACTTTCCAGTCTAAAGCTCCTCCATTTTGTAGCTATTTAACAGTTTAAACCTTGATGTCATGGTGATAGAAGAGGACTGCATTGTCCCATTAGTGGACCAAATTAGAATCTTAGTTCAATTTACTTAGTAGAAGAAGCCACAAATGGATCTTGAACTGTCCAGTTCTTTAAGCTCTATTATTTGGCTAGTTACAGTAGGTGAGACAGAAAGGACTGCAAAACCAAACCCTAAACACCACATTTTAGCTTCCATCATGGTGATAGCTGAGAGCTGCATTGTCATTAGAGTGAACCAAGAAGTACTTCTTCCTCAGGCTAATCCTACTTGCAGATGGATTTTATTGGTTTCTTGCATTAAAATTTGACAGCAGGGAACTTTTAGGAAGTCACATCAATGTCATCAAACTAAAGAAGAAGAAGAATTGGGTGTCCTCCAAATCAAGAACCAGATGCAAGAATCAATGAATCAACCATGTGTGATTTCTTCCAAGACTCAGAAGTAGTCATGATTGGCTGTATCATCTAATCTATTTATTCCTCAGGCTGCACTGCTTGAATACTGTGGGTGGTTTCAGGGTCATGTGGGAACAAGAACTATTCAGCTGAAGTGATTGCATACAAAGATAAGATATGATAGTGCAGGAGAGGACTGTGTTGACAGCTTTTATGTGTTTCTGTTCACCTAAACCATAACATAATCTACCAAAAAGGTTGACAAATCTTATCTTCAGTTTCAACTGATGTAGAGGTCAAACTGACATGTGACCATATGGTCAAACATCAACAGATGCTATCAATTCCTAACTGGATCATCAAAACCACCAAAGTCAATCTTGTAAGTTGCATTTATTCTTTGTGCAAGTGAATCAGACTTGTTTACCAAAGCCTTAGTCTATGCTGAGCATTTTCCCTACAAAGTGTTGGATTGCACCCCTTGCCTTTGTCTCTTCTCTTGCAAGTCATCTATCATATGTATCAAGCCATATGGAAGCTGTGATAGTCCTCAACAGTGGAAAGTTCTATACCAAACTACACATATACTCCTTCCTCTTTCTTGGGGTTGTAGCTTTTAGACTGGTTGAGACTTGCTTGATATGACTATCACTGTGTAGAATATAACCTCTTTCTTTTTTCTCCCATGGTGGATGAAGTTTTTCATCTATAAGAAGTGCATTTTTCTCTAATCCTTAATAGCATCAACTCTAGATTGGTAAGTGATATTCATCCTATCAGGATCTTCAAATGACAAATGAGGTAATCGGATCGACTACAAAAGTAAAAATATTTTTTGATTCAAAAATAATTTAAAATATTTCTCTAGCCCTAAACGATTGAGGATTTTGGGCTATAAATAAGACGTCATGACATATATTCTTTCTGTCTCATTTCTCTACTTCTTATATTTATATATTCGTTATCAGTTACAATATTTGATATAAACATATTATAAATATTCATTTGCTATCGATTAACTTGTTGATCCGATCATTCATTTGAAAATAAACTTCTTGATTCAAGAACCCACCCCCATGTTGCATTCTTGAATGTAATCACATGGTTGATCTTGATGTTGGCAGCAGCTTGAACTCATATCCACTTCAGAACTGATGCATGCATGCAGGTGACAATGGACTGCCTTGGAATGATGCATTCAAGTGACTGAATTAGAAGACCACAGTTCCCCAACCACACCTCTCTAATCTAATTTCTTTAATGACTTCGATGGATGATTACTACTAATGATTCGATCAGGAACAAAAATGCAAAAGACATTTACAAGCTAGCTTGGTGCGATCTCGAATGAAAACCTAACCCAAAAACAAAGCTATGTGCACTCAAAGAAGTCAAATTGAGCAGTCATTCACATGCATGCGAGCTAGATGGTCATGATACATCGAAGAATGAAGGATATAGTGGATCGATCATCCACATCCCGCATTGAGGATGCTACAAATATTATTTGAATGATCATGATCCATGGTGTTGTATCTCAAACTGTAATGGTAAGAAACTACTCACGGAATTCGAATAATGTTTATGATGCATGAGATGTGGCATAGGCTGAGACTTGGGCCCAAACCAAATTGGACCAACAGCTACTCTTAACGATACCACCATTGGTCAAAGCACCTTCTGATAGTGGATGATTGAATCGTACAATTCTCGTTGTCTATGTAAATTTAATGTAATATATATATGTCTTCTAAGATCGAGCTTAATTGACGATTGGTAGATATTACATATGTTAATACAGATTTTGATTGTCTGATATGTCTAAAATTCAAAGCCAATATTTATTCTCGTTAAAGCTCAGTATTGGGATATGGTTGGGTTTGGTAAAGAGTTATGCGATAAAATCTCTTCGATACTAAATAGAATAAGCATGAAATTAGAAGGTTTAGAGAGCTGAGAGTTTATATGAGTATCTATTATATATAGAGAGCAAGTGCGAGTTATAATTCGTGTGAATGGTTATATGGAATCGTAGAGCATTACAACTTGTGAAAGGTATCGAACCATCGTGCATTGCATTTATATTATCATACGTTGTGCAAACCATATAAGGTGTTTGGTTAACATATCAGATAGAACACTCGAAAGGTGTCAGCCTAATAATAAGGCTAATTATGTTAGTTAGGTTTAAATAATTTATATTAAATTTTATATATTTATGAAAGTAAACTATGTAACACTATCTACTATAATATCGTCGGTTTTATCGACAAAAAACATAGCATCTGATAAAATAAAGGACAAAAATATTATTTAATATTATAATTATGTTTTCATTTGTTATGCTTTAATTAAAACTTCTTAGTCAGTAGTGGTGGCAAATAGTGACACCATCGAAGGCTGCAAGTGACTGTTGCGGTAGTGGTCGACAAGAATGACCTAATGGTCAACTGAGATGTTGGTAACGATCATGATAGTAATAGAACTTGAGGTACTTCTATGGTTTCTTACAAGTGGAGAAGGAGAAAGAGGAGAGAGAGTGATGGAAAGATGTGAGGCAAAAGGAGAAGAGGAAAATGACATGGACGATAGTCACTCATCATCGTCTTGCAACTACGTCGATGTCACTTTGCATCTATATTGACGAGAAGGGAGGTAAAGACCTTGTGTCCTGCCGATGTAGATGTCTCACCTCCTATCAACACATATATAGAGCAGTGCGGAAGGAAGAAGAGGAGAGAGAGCGATAAGTGGAGGGTGTATCGATCGACGTCCTCCACCAATCGGACCACAGAATGTCCGATTGAATGAGACCACAAGAGCTTCACCGATCATCGCCCGGATCACAATCGAGTTGCCCATCTCTAGCTTCTAATCCGTGCTAATTCCGTGGTTGCCTCCATCCGCTCGTCCTCTTCTGCCGCCATGATTGTGGATCAACGATGATGACGACATGATCCTATGGCGGGGCAATGATTTAAGGTCGAAGACCCATCGCTTCTATAGTAGAGGTGACTATAAGTAGTTGGTCGAGGTTGTCATCGATAACTTGCTCAACAATATTGGCATGATAAATGAGGTAAGTTACGTGGGAGGTGAGCCAGACATTAATGTAGTCCAAGTGAGAAGGCATAATTGCAACAAGAGAAGATGTAGAGTTCATCGTTATCCTTGAACTCACTTAGGTACACCAGACACTCGACCGTCTCCTTCCTCACCTTCAACCCTTTAATATCATAGTACACGAACGTGGGGAACATCTCGAGAACCCATGGTATAACTAAAGAAAATATAATCGAGATATTAAAATTATTTTTTTACCCATCATTTTTATGTCATTGTACATATTATCACATACTATATTTTCTGTACGTTAAGATAAATAGATATAAATATTTTATTTTTATAATTATATAAATTTTAATATATTTTTTTTAAATCTAAGAAATA